GGGGACAGAGGGATTGGAGGTGGGGGGACAGAGGGACCAGGAGGGACAGAGGAGCAGGAGGGGACAGAGGGCCAGGAGGGGACAGAGGGACCAGGAGAATAGGAAACAGACCCCAGAGTCTTGGGTGGCCATGCAGTGACCTGTATGGGGCCGGTCAGCACCCCACTCCCGAGGTGCTCTCAGGACGGGCCCCCTGGGCGTCCATGCCGACCTGTCTCCCCTCCTGGCAGAGCGGCCCTATCGTGAGTCGAGACACAGGCAGGTGCCTGGAGGTGGAAATGTCCAAGGACGCCAACTTCGGGCTGCGGCTGGTGGTACAGAGATGCTCGGGGCAGAAGTGGACCATCAGGAGCTGGCTCAAGCGCGGGCGACACTGACCGCCAGCCCCGCCCTGTGCCCTCCCGGATGCAGACCCCGAGGACCCGGGGAGGGCGTCAGGCCGCCTGCTGGGCTGCGTCCCTGGGACCGCGGGGGCCCCCTGTGCGCTCCGGAGGCAGGTGCCGGGGACCGGCCGGCCCAGCAGGAGCACAGACCCCGAAGCCAAGCCCACCTCGGAATCACGTGCCTTTTCTACGGTATTCCTGTCCAGGCCGCCGGGCCGGCCACCTCTTCTGCATGAAGCCCCCTGTACGTTCCCCCACTCGCGGAAATAACCCCCGTGAGCTCCGTGGGTGGCCCAAGCTCCCGTCCCGGCCGGGCAGGACCGTGGCCTCCTCCCGTCTTCTGACCATCTAAGGAAAAGCCCAGAAGAGCAAAGCAGAGCCCTCTCCAAGGTTGGGGACGCGGGGGGGGGGGGGTCGCGGCTGCAGCCGTCCCGGCGACGCCCCAGGCAGTGCTGACGAGGAGGCCGGTTGCCGCCCCGATCCAGCGCCGAGCGGGTCAAACAGGACAGAGCTGGTCTTGTCCTCCGGAGCCCTAGCGGCTGGGTCGTCCGGGGTCGGGGCCCGGGCCCCTGTTCCAGCGTCTCGCCCGGGGCCAGGCGCCTCCCCCCCGCCTTGTTGCTCCAAGGCGGGGGTCCGTGAACAGCGACCCACAGCCCTGTGCCTGTTTTTATAAATAAAGTTTTATTGGCACACAGCCGCACCCACCTGCCTCTGTATGGTCCGGCGCGACCCTCTCGCCCGGGGCCAGAGTTGAGCAGGAGCACGTGCCCCACGGGGCCGTCCCAGGGGCTCCGAGATGCCGTCTCTGGGCGGGCCGACGCTTAATGATTGCGGTGAACATCACAGGGCCCCGCCCGTCCCTGTCCCCCAGCAGAGCCACCGCCCGCTACGCCCAGCAGCAGGTGCGCCCAACACTAGCTGCTCCCCAGTACTGCCAGTACCCCACACTAGCGCCCTCGTTCTGGGCGGAAGGCCTCAGTCGTCCAGCGGTGGGGACAGCTACCAGACCGCCGCCCGCACAGCCCTCGCACTGCGGTCTCCCGGCGCCTAGGGGTCTCCCCCGGGGCAGAAATTGTGGCTGTGTTGGAGACTTCCAAACCGCCCCCCCATTCTTGTAGAGCAGCCCGGAGCAGGGTTCCTGGACACCCGGGCTGCTTCACACAGGACTTAGCTGGTCCCGCCGAGCTGGGACCAGGCAGTCAGCCTTCCGGGGGGTGGGGAGCCCGGCTGCCCCTCCGGGGAAGGCGTCACGGCCGCTCCCCGCAGTGTCTTTGTGAAGCAGAAAGTTGTTCTCAGAGTGCCAGGGGGGCTCGGAGCCGTGAGACCACACTCGTTCTCCACCTCTCAGGCTCTGAGTCTCTGGGGAAGGTGGGGGCTCTGACCTGCCCCCTGGGCACCCCCCACCCCAGCCCCATCCTCCTCTGCTCCTTCCTTGGGTCCCGTCCCCTGCTTCCTGCCACTGTGGGAAGCCCTGGCCGGCCCCAACCTCCCCACTCTCCCCAGAGAACTCTACCAGCTCCCACCCAACTCCCCCAAAAGCCCCTCTGTCTATTTCAGATCTTGCCCAAATTTTAAGACCATAATGGAGGCAAAAAGCCAGCAGTGAGCGACACCTCAAGAGTCAGCCTCTAGCCAAAGCCCTGGGCACACATCCAGAAGTTTCCCAACTGAAGGTGAAATGGTAGCAGCCCTTGGCGGGCAGACTGAGCTAATTGCCCGTGGTTCAAAATAGAAAGTATCTCGGCTGAAACCTAGAAAACTCGCTGTTGCATACCGTGCATTATCGAAACCGCCAATGTGAGGGTTTGTAGCCCACGGGACGCGGAAGGTGTCTCGACAAGCACCCCCCACGCCCCGTCCTTGCGGGAGGCGGCGAGTTTTGATAGCGTGCTGTCGGGTCCTGGCTGGCCCCCGGGTCCTGCCTCGGCACGAAGACGAGGGTCGGCGGGGCCGAGCTGGGCCCACAGGCAGCAGGACCACGGCGGGGCGAGGCCCTTGGCCTACCATAACCAAGATGGAGAGACCGCCTTCTTCGTGGGGCAGGGCCACGGAGCTCCCTCACCTCCATTCACTTCTGCCCCCACTGCCTGGTGAGAGCTGTGTCCCCACCGAGGCCTGCCCCGAGGATCCCGGGGGGGGGGG